TGTTGAGTAGAAAATGTGATTCTCTGAAAACCTAGGGTAAGGGAAGTAGCTGGAAGTAACTGTGTTACTTATTTACTGTTCTATATCATGGGGCTGATGTTGCCTTGGAGGGTCCTCAAGGTTGGAAAATTATCTCCAGATGTCTGGAGATTTCTCCTCCCAGTGCAATCAATCCATAGAGGAACTCATCATTCTTCATCAGCCAGTAAAAGGCTATGTTGAAGGGGGCTGTAGTAGTTAAAAGGTGAGTTTTGGGAGGAAACATCATCATCGTGTGAGGTCAACAAAGCATTCTGGACTTAATCAATAGTGAAAGGAGTGCAGCCCTCTAGATGGAATTGGACAACAACTCCCAGCATTCCTCACTATTGACTATGCCCACTAGGGCTGATGGGTCTTGCAGCCCAACATGTAGAGGACTGCATAATTCTTATCCCTCTCCTACACAATCCCAAACGGTTTCTCAGGTTAAAACCTGGCATAAGGAATATGTTAGGAGAAAATTGCCCACTTACCCAATATCATCAAAGTGAATCCTAGTGATGGTCCAGGCAGAAATAAACAGTGTCGGTGCCCCTGCCAATGAAGGATTGGATATCTATTGATTAGATGAGGTTTCGGAAATGATATGCTACAAAAACAGTGTTCAGTCCAAAATAAGGCCAAACGTGGTGAGTTAGATTTTAAGCACCCGTGGTCAAAAACCTGAAATGAGCAAAACCAACCCAACCCACTCAGACACAGGTGTTGTTACAACCTGTTGTTGTTGTTAACTGCCCTCGAGTCAACCTTGATTCATGACAACCCTGTGGATGAGGCATCTCCAATATCCTTCCTCCACTACTCTGCTCAGTTTCTGCAGGTCCAGACCCATGTTTTACTCAATCAAGTCTAACTATCTAGCTGGTGATCTTCCTCTTTTTCTACTGCCCTCTACCCTTCCTACCATCATTGTCTTTTCTAATAATTCATGCCTTCTCATAATATGGCCAAAGTATGACAGCCTCATCTTAGTCATCCTGGCTTTCAGGAAAAGTTCAGGTTTGATCTGTTCTAGAAACCATTTGTTTGTCTTCCACATCTTAGATGAGTTTATTATCTTTCTTAGATGAGTGTATTTTCTTTCTTCACTGTCCAGCTGTCACATCCATACATGGTGACAGGGAATACCATGGCTTGGATGATCCTCACTTTAGTATTCAAAGTTATAACTTTACACTTTAGGATCTTGCCACCACTTTAATTGCTATGGCTCCAGGCTATGGAATTCTGGGATTTGTAATTTGTATTAGCCTTCTCTGTCAGAGAACTCTGGTGCCACAACAAACTAGAAATCCCCAGATGCCACAGCACTGAGCCATGGCAGTTAAAGTGATATCAAACTGCATTATTCCTGCAATACAGATGCAACCACTGAGACCTATAGTCTGAAAATATGGCTCTTCCAAGCTCTGGTGGGGCCCAACCTTTCTAATTCATTTCAAGGGGACCTCAACGGAGCATACAGGATCCAACCCAATGAAACTAAATATTAGATTTACAAATGGTAATTCAAGGAGGCTGGAACTACAATATACCTATATCCACCGAAGAATGATCAATATTAATAATTAAAAGGAAGAAAAGAAAGAAGGATCAAGGAAAAAATTGCTTACCCCAGCCAATCAGGATATACCACCAGAAGTACTTCTTCTCTGAGAAGAAAGAGATAACCAGAAGTGTATGGAGATACAAGCCTTCAACCAGGAGCCAAAAGAAATTGGCCATGATGCAGTATTGAAAGAACACCATTGCTGCCTTGCAACCAACCTGTAGAGAAAGACAAGCCCAAAGTTTTACTGAGCTGGAAAGATTGCATCCTATTTGTTGATTATTAATAATTCAAATGAATTTCCATGACACCCATAACCCAATTTCTCTAGGCAGCAGACAACCCACCCATACATCCTTAAATATATATGATAACAAAACTTCTCTCAAGAGATCCAGTGTAGCGTAATGGTTTGCGCATTGGACTAAGGGTGCCCCTAGTTGTTGCTGTTGCTGTGTGTCTTCAAGTCATTTGTGACTTATGGTGACCCTAAGATGCCCCTATTATGGGGTTTTCATGGCATGATTTGCTTAGAGGAGGTTTGCCATTGCCTTCTCCTGAGGCTGAGAGCATGTGACTTGCCCAAGATGATCCAGTGGGTTTCATGACATAGCTGGGAATTGAACCCTGGTCCATAAAATCTTAGTCCAACACTCAAATCATTACGCCACACTGGCTCTCATAAGGGTACATTTCCACTGTAGAAATAATGCAGTTGGTGTACTGTAGCTTCATTCTATGGAATCTTAGGATTGGTAGTATTACAAGGTATTTTTGCCTTCTCTGGCAAAGCTGGTGATGCTTTGCAAAACTACAAATCCCAACTGCCATGGTAGTTAAAGTGGTGTCAGACTGCATTATTTCTACAATGTAGATGCACCCTTTCTTAGCTGTGTCCATCCCTTAACTCCCTCTCCAGTGCTGTCTCCCCTCTGCACTGTTCCTATTAAGACCGTGAGCTCCTAAGATTGCCTGGGCAAGTGCTCAACTGTAAAAGCTGCTCCCCAAAGTGGACAAAACCTCTCTGGGACCACCACTATCCTGCTGCAAAAATGGATTTTTATTTTATTTTATTTGCAGTGTCCATGCAAAAATGACCTTTGTCAGAATATACTTAGTCATTTCTTAACTTCTCCCAAGTTTCAAAATTGGGTGGATGATTAGGAAGCAAACACAGAGGAAACCACTCAGAGGACAGAAGAAGAAAGCAGAAGGAGTCAACAGAAGGCTAGCTTTGAGTTTGGATTTTGGGCAGTTCAGCCAAAATCAAACCGAGAGATTCACAGCCAGTAGCTGGCTCCCAGCCCTTGCATGCCAAGTCAGCCGGGATTGTCAGATGGTGCAGAAACAGCAGGATGATATGAGGACACTGACTACAAGGAAAGAAGTCTGGGCTGGCTCAATGGAGCTTGTGACATTCGTGCTCGCTTGGAACAGTGTGGGTTTGTGCAGCAGATTATTTTCGGTGTACTCTCATCACCATTGTTGATACTGGTTCTTTTCCCCCTCCCTCCCATGATTAAATATAGCCGGGCATATGGTGTAATAGCTTGACCATTGGACTACAGCTCTGGAGAACAGGGTTCGATTCTCAGCTCGGCCATGGAAACCTATTGGGTGACCTTGGGTGAGTCACACACTCTCAGCCTCAGAGGAAGGCATATCCCCTCTGAACAAATTTTGCCAAGAAAAACCCAAGATAGGTTCACCTTAGGGCTACCATAAATTGGAAATGACTTGAAGGCACATCACAACAACAACAGTATATGCTGAAGGACTCTTTTGAACTCTAGATCGAAAATGGCAGAATGTGAGAGCTGGAAGGGATCCTAGGGATCACCAAACTGTACTTTCCTCATGTTTTGCTTTAACCAAGTTCAGGTATCCACAGAGTCAGTGAGTTGTGGTCAGAAGGAAGCCAAGTTTCAGTATTGGAACAACTGTGTTGTTAGTAGCAAGAGACTAAGCATGCGTCATCCACTCCAATGTCAAGAATGCCATAAAGCAGAGCCATCAAGAGTGTTCAGGGGTATCTGTAGTAATCCAGGGGTCATAAATCTATCAGGAACAAGGGAACCACCCAACCTTGAGAGCCAGGAATTGTGTTGCTTCCAACAATGAGCTGGTGTTCTTATCCTGCCTTCTATAGGCAGAGAAGTTGTACCAACACCCAGATGCCAGGTTGTATTTAATGGCAGCGCCCTTCTGTTTTGTTCTCCAAAAGGCCTTGATAGCTGCCTCTTGCTCTATCTAAATAACCTAAAGGCACCAGATACGTCTGGTCTTGGAAGCTGAGCGGAGTCAGCTCTGGTCAGTACTTGTATGGAAGACTGCCAATGGCTACCAGGTGCTGTAGGCTGTATTTCAGTGGAAGGAATGGGTAAAACCACCACTGAGGATTCCTTGGTTAAGAAAACCCTATGAAATTCATGGGGTTACCATAAGTCAACAGGTGACTTGAAGGCACATAGACACATGTCATCTGAGAAAAAGAGTTTGGACCAAACACCTGAGCCTCCATCTTTCCTTGGGACTAGTGTGGTTGTTCTCCTCCTGATCAACTCTCAAAGGAGGGGGGGGG